ATTAATTTCTTTCTATTTTTGGTAGAGACGGGGTCTCGCTCTTGCCCAGGCTGGTCTCGAACTCCTGAGCTCAAACAATCCGCCCACCTCAGCCTCCCAGAGTGCTAGGATTACAGGCGTGAGCCACCGCGCCCGGCCCCAAATTCTAATTTTTAATTGCTGATATATAGAAAAGCAATTGACTTTTGTATGTTAACCTTATATCCTACAACCTTGCTATAATCACTTACTAGTGCCAGGCTTTTTTGCTGTTGTTCATTCTTGGATATTTTAAGTCAGTTTTCTCTTCCTTCCCAGTCTTTATACCTTTTCTTTCCTTATAATATTTTATTGCATTAGCTAGGACTTCCAGTACAGTGTTGAATAGGGTTGGTAAGAAGGGACGTCCTTCTTTTCAATCGTAGGAGAAAATCTTCTAGTTTCTCACCATTAAGTATGACGTTAGCTATAGGATTCTGGTAGTCTTTATCAAGTTGAAGAAATTCCTTGCCGTTCCTAGTTTCCGGAGAGTTGTCATCATGAATAGGTGTTGGATTTTGTCAAATGTAATTTTGTCTCATGGTAATTATGTAATTTTTTTAATTATAAAGTTTTTCTTTGTTAACCTTGTTGAATATGATGGATTACATTAATTGGTTTTCGAATGTTGGGCCAGTATGCATACCTGGAATAAAAAATCCCATTTGGTTGTGAAGCATAATTCTTTTTATACATTGTTGAATTCAATTTTCTAATGTTTTGTTAATAATTTTTGCATCTATGTTCATGAGAAATCTATAGTTTTTCTTTCTTGTAATGTCTTTATCTGTTTTTGGTATTAGGGTAATGCTGCCCTCATAGGAGTTAGGAATTATTCCCTCTGCTTATATTTTGTGTAAGAGATTGTAGAAATTTGATACAATTTCTTCCTTAGATGTTTGATAGACTTCACCAGTAAAACTTTCTGGGCCTCGTGCTTTTCTTTTGAAAAAGAAAAAAAAGGTTATTAATTGTTGATTCAATTTCCTTAGCAGATACAGGCCTATTCAGATTATCTCTTTTTCCTTGTGTGAATTTTTGGTAGATTGTTTCTTTCAAGGAACGGGTTCATTTCACCTAAGTTATCAAATGTGTGGACATAGAGATATATTCATCATATTCCTTTATGATCCGTTTATTGCCCATGGGATCAGTAGGGAGGACCTCTCCTTCATTTCTGCTATTAGTATTGATCTTTTTGAAGACCCACCTTTCTATTTCATTGATTTTTCTGTTATTTTCCTGTTTTCAGTTCCTTGATTTCTGCTCTGATTTTTGTTATTTCTTTTCTTCTGCTCACTTTATTTATTTATTTATTTTGAGACAGAGTCTCACTCTGTTGCCTGGGCTAGAGTGCCATGGCATCAGCCTAG